AAACAGAAGGGGCTCAAGAGATGGAGGGAGGAGAAAAAAGAGATCCAAAGAGGATGGAGAAAGAAAGAGACATGGGATGGATGTGTACTGGCTTCACGCTAGGGGTGGGAACACCTACTCATTAAAAGGAAATCCTAGGAAACTACTACTTTCCTGGAGGTCAAAAGGCCTGTCCACAGTTTGAAAATGGTTGGTGTGGGGGCGGCCCCAGTTCAGACATAGTCGTAAATGGGCGGCCTGTCTGCCGGGGCCCCTAAACCCCTCCCTGTCCGGTTTGCCTGGGGGCTGGACCAGTGGAGGAAGAGCTTCCTCTGGCATCTGTCAGCGGAAGACACACCTTTACAGCCCCAGTGGGCAGACACAAAACCCCTGCAGCAGAGTCAGGCCAAGACAAGTCCCGACATCATAATGGGGCGGTTTCCATGGCGACTGGTCCAAGCACACACTTCCCCACTGTCTCAAAATCAGGCAGAGACAGGCCATGACCCTGCAGCAGGGTAATCAGGGGTCCTTCCCTGTGACGGGTACAGTGGCCAGACAGGCCACAGCACTGTACTGGGATGGGGTAGGGCCCCCAGGGAACCTGCCACTGTGGTGGCTCCTCTGGTGACAGAGCCTTACACCACAGTGAATCAGCCCAGCCCTCCTAGCCTAGTCCAAGACTGCTCCATCTTGCCCTGGGGAGTACCCTTCCCACTGGACTGCAGCTGATCCCTGCTGGGGGGCTGGAGGGCTGGTTTCGAGGAGGAAAGGAAGGACCAGGACAGCGAGTGGATAACATGCCCTTCTCCCTGGGCGGCTGCTCCTGCGGACTCCTACAGCCACCACCAGGAGAGATTTTCAGGAAGAAAAGGACACATGGACCCAGGGATCCTATTCCCCCTCACAACCAACGAAGTCAAAGTAGTAAGTGAGCACAAATGACCCCCGTGCCAGGACGAGGACCGGGGTCACAGGAAGAGGACAGGAGAGGGCTGCCTGTGCAGGAGCGGGCAGGCGTGGCTCACACAGAGGAGGATGCAGGAGGGATGGACACAAAATCTCAAGGCGCGCCCTGTGAGGACCCCACGCCTGGACTGTTTGGTCACTGCAGTCACATTCCTGTGTAAACACACACAGCTGAGGACGCGGTGCACAGACACGATCACGCCATTATCTTCCAAGGCAGACCTGCTATCTTTGGTAAGTACTAACTCCCAGGTGGGAAGCCAGTAAAAGTTAAGTACACACACACACACACACACACACACAAATAAACTTGTTTAAAAATATGATCTATAGATACAAAAAGGAATGAAATAAGTCCTTTAACCTGTTGACCTGGAAGAGCTTAAAAAGTGGTAGAAGCCCAGAGAGCCAAGCAGGGAGCTGCGCAAGACCACGGCATCCTTAAAGGCTGGCTCTGGGCTTGGAGTAGCTCATGTTCCAGGATTTTCAATGACTGGTACCTTTAAATGAGGTCATCACACCTCCAAGAGAAGTCCATAAAATACACTCATTAGCACCCTGCCTAGAGGCCAGACCAGCCAGGTGCAGCCTGGCGGACTTTCAAAACTGAGACTTATGTCTCAGGATACAGGGCAAGAACTGTACAAAGAAAACCAGTTACAAGACCTGAGAGCAAAGGACATTTGGACGTCCAATACATTAAGGTCGCTTTGCATGCTGAAAAGGACTCCAGGTCAGGAAGTAAGCGCGGTATTAAAAAAAAAAAAAAAAAAAAAAAAAAGGAAGACAACACAGATAATTAAAATCAGAAATAAAAAGCCGAAATTACAATCAATACCACAGACACAAACAAGGCTTAGAGTGCCATTTCATGGCAGAACGGATGCCCTCAAAATGGACTAGTTCCTAAGGCGGAACCATAAAGAAGCAGAGGATCCAAGGAAAGCTTGAAGCCCTGAGATTTAATGATGATGACAGTGATGTTTGGATGTTTTTGTTATTTTAGTGTTCCATTTTCTGGATCTACTGAGATGACAAAGCACTTAGCAAACAAGGAATCGAGGTAAACTAATAAAGGTCATATATACAAAGTTCACAGCTTACAACCTACTTACTGGAGACACTAAAAGCTTCTCTCTAAGATTGGGAACAAGGTGAGATGTTCTGACCCAGTATTAGAAATCCTCGCCAGCAAAATGAGGCAAGAGAGATGATTTTTATATCAGATCACACATCGGACTGTAAATCTAACAAAGCAGTTTAGAAAAGTTAAAAGGAAAGTTAAAAATCAGATGCATTTCTGTACACGAAACAATATAAACTTTCAAAGTAAGTTAGTGACACGACTCCACTCAAAATTACATAAAAAACTAATGCGGTATCTAGGAATAAACACATAAGAACTGAAACATCTCTGCATTGAAATCACAAAAGATTGCTGCAAGAAACCAAAGAAGACACACATAACGCAGAATACAAGAGCAACAATAAAAACAATGAATGCAATAAAAGAAAGTACAGAAAAGCCATAAAACAAAAATGCAACATAAATGCTCAAAATGTACAATAAATGTGACGTTACATAACATTAATTATCACGATGTAAATTACTTATTTTCACATTGTAGGAAATCAGTCCCTAGACTCAATTGTTGGTGCCAACAATAAAGCACTTAAATGTCAAGGGAAAAAAAAAAAAAAAAAAAAACCAAACAGATGCCTATAAATGGAAAGACATCCCGCATCTGTGAGATTGCAAATCTTAGTACTATTAAGATCTTCATAGCATAAGTTGCAGTCAGACGTTGCGAGGAGAACAATTATATACAGGGCACAATTTACAATACTATTTTATGACAATCACCCAGAGTTAAATAAAAGAAAGTGCAAGAAATCTGTCCACAACACTAAAGACCTAGAAAATGGAGCTGAGGGCCTGGATCCCACAGCAATGTCCTGCAAGAGCCCAGCTGAATTCCCGCAGCCCATCACAGTGCCTCCCATGAATCCTACTGGAGGCCTAGAGCCCAAGACAATGACTCATGCAAGGCTGTTTTATGGATCTGCACTGGGAAGGCCCAAAGGTCAGAAGTGGAACCTAGAAAGTCTATGCCAGTCGGGGGAAGAATCTGTGCCATTAGGTTGAGGATTCTACACTGCAGCCAAGAAGCACACTCAAAATAAGGACCAGGGTTCCCCTGAAAAGCACCACAGCAATCCCAAGGTCCTCCAATAATAATGGCCAAGTTCATGTCAGGGAAGCCAGGGTGACAAGCTCCTTGGAGAGAACCAACGGCTCCAAACAACAGCACCACTTAGGTTAAAGGAGAAAGTTTCTGCAAGTCAAAAGATCTATCACAGGACTGAAAGAAGCGGCCTAGTGAATGTGCGATGGTGTTCCTTAAAGGCATTTCAAAACCGTAAGAGCCAGGCATGGTGGGACATGCTGGTAACCCTAGCACTTTGGAATCAGGGACAGGAGAACCCTGAGCCTGAGACCCACGGTGGGTGCTGAGGCCTAATAGGCACCTACGAGAAAAGGGAGACACAGCAGGTTTCATCCAGAGGGTGTTTTAGACTTTGAAGAGTTCAGGAGAACTGCTGCATAACCATGCAAACTGAGTCAACACTCACAAACTCCTGCGTGTTTAAATCAGGATGAAGATGTTACGCTAGATGCGAAGCACTTTGTTCTTATTTTACTGAAACCACAATTAAGACTGTATGAAGGGTCTGGCTGTGTTTGCATCAAGAGTTGCCATGACAACTTCCTGGGCAGACGCTGTGGATAAAGACGCACAGGGCGGTGTACCGTGGAGCTGGTACTCACCGAGCCTGTGATGGAGACCTCGGCTTGTAGCAGATTCAGGGAGAATAATCACAAGCTCTGTGTGTGTGTGTGTGTGTGTGTGTGTGTGTGTGTGTGTGTGTGAGACATCCAAGGACAGACCATATGAAGCTCTTGCAGGAAAACTCTAATTGCCAGGAACATTCACCTGGCAGGTTTGGAGATAATCATTATCTACGTATGACTATAAATAACAACATGCATTTCAAATTGTGTGTGCACAATATTAATATAATTTTAAAATTATACTACCATTATGAAGTACTGGTTTTTCCTCCCTGGGCGCCAGGAATTCTAAAGACAGAAGACAGTATTTGCACTGTCATCCTAGAGGTGTACTCAAGCGCCCATTTTGAGTACTGTCTGACCTGAAATGCAGGATGTCTGTCATTCTCACTTCTAGCACGAAGTCTACTTTCTAATGGAACCAGGGTGAATCAGACCACAGGAATGGAGCAGCTTCTCTGAGGAGACACCAGATACTGAAACACGCGTATTCCATCCAGGACTGGGGCAGTGAGGGTAGCTCAGTGGTAAGCTATTGCCCACCCTGTGTGAGACCTGGGTTCACTCTTCAGCACCCCCAAAAATAGACACACACAAACACTAGGCTGGTTATGTATGTGATGCACAGGCATACTGAAAATAACTAGGGCTGCAAAGTTTTTTGATAATTAAAGTCGTATGGGGAGCTTTAGCTCCTTATCAATTTATTAAAGTTTGAATAACTGCTGGAATTTTAATTCTGTGTCTGATTTCACGGAGGAAGAGGTGAAGCCACTTACTAGCGTGCCTTATGAAGCAATTCTGACCTGAGCCTAATCTCATCGAAACTAAATATACGGCTGTGGTGTGGCTCAGCGGTGGAGTGCCAGCCAGGGCTGGATTTGACTCCTTGTACCACAAAAACAAAAACCTACGTTAAATAAAGCTCAGGTGATTTCTACACCCCAGACATCTGTGCAACTGAAGTCTATTCTTTTAAGCACGTGGATTGACCTTCATCCTCCAGGGCCAATGGAGATCTCACGGGTGCAGTCCTGAGACTTAGCAAGATGCAACAAGATAAACTAGGCATTCTGGACCTCAAGAGACGTACAGCGCTCCCAATGCTGAGGCACGGGATGTGTCGGCGGGAAGAAGCGGAGGAAGGAGGGAGGAGGAGGGAGGAAGGGCTGGGGAGGAGCAGAGGGCGAGGAAGTACCTGGCATGAGCTCAGCGGTGGGGAACAGTGCCTGTAACTTCCTATGGCACTCCTCCACCAGCTCCTCCTTGCACATGGGGAGCTGCAGGACGTCTATGATGATCTGGGCAGCTTCTAACGCTGTCTTTCCCATCACCAGGGACTTCACGTCCCAGCCGTACTGCTTCCCGTAGCGACCGCAGATTTCTTGACACACCACTGAATACAGCCGCTCGGTATCTGCAGAGACAAAATCCAAGCACAAAAGATGAAGAGATTTTCAGAATACGGATCATAAAGTCTGTGTTACGGCAGCATAAAATACATGGGGTAGTCTCTGGACGGGAAACTGGGACATGTTTAGAGGTCCTGTTTGCTGAAAGGTGGCTAGGCCACCCCCTCCAGGAGGCTGGAATTCAAGTCTCTGGACCAATGACCTAGAAAGGTAGCCATCAGGAGAAAAATGAGATGTGGGTGACTGTTCTTCTGTTCACATGAACGTAATGGCCACATGCACTTGAGATCACTGACTGCAACCCACGGCATTTGGCATCATCTTGAATTTGCAGGCAAGCTCAAGAAGACACCCCCGGGGTCTGGGGTGGCACCCACGTGATGACACCCAACTGCGAGGTGCTGGGACATGCACAGAGCTATGTACTATCAACATCACAGAAAGGCGCCAGGCTGGCCTGACGACGAGATCCCAGCTTGGGTCACACGAGGAGGATATGTACGGTTTCCACATGTCCGGGCTCTGCTCTCCGCGTCTCCACGAGGTGCATACGCACAGCACTAATACGACAACTGGGGAGCATTAAAGTCCAGGCAGTGCCCAGGATTGGTCTTTCCAGTCTGGCTGACTAGTGGCAATCAACCAACCACGCATCAGTGTTGGAAACAAGCTGTGGAGACACTATTTCATGGTGTTCCACCCTAGCCATGGCAGTTTACTATGGAGCACTGGCGCTGGTATTACCAGTTATGGTTAACACTACAGTCAGCATTAGTGACCCCCGAACAGCACTGGACGTGTGTGTACGTGTGCAGCTGTCCATCTGGGTCACCCCAAGAAAGATTCCTGGAATGGCATTGGGCAAGCAGTGTGTGCCCATGAGACACTAGTGTTTTATCTTCAGCCTTCAGCACGGCTCTACAAGGTCAGCTCACCAAAAAGCCACCCAAGTGGCCAGTGCAAAGGCACGACCAGTGACCAGTAAACACTGCAGCTTGAAGACCAGGTAAGCAGCAAGGAGCTGACCATGATCTCTAGGGCCCAGTGAAAGCACAAAGCTTGTGTGTGGTAGCCTCCTATCCAGGGTCCTTCCTGATGTTGGTTTCCTGGGGGGCCCGCCATGGGCATTCTGCACACCCCAAAAGCAGAGGTGGGGTGGGTCACACACAACTAATGACAGAGTCACTGTACTTGTGTGATGGACACCCAACTCCTGCTCTGATTCTGTTCCAGCTTTGGCACTGAGGCCCTGCCTCGGGTCAAGGACCCCCTCGTGGGATGGGTTGTGGAGCTACTCAGCTGGACCCCATGGTTCTCCAAAGAACTGAGTGACTCTAATGGCTTCCAGCTGGGCTTTCCAAGATGACATGGAAAAATGCAACAGAAGGTGTTTATAACCTATCTTCTTTCTACACTCAGACATGCAGTACTGAGTCACATCGAAAAACCGTGGCCACAAACAGTACGCTGTATATGCACATGAGGCATAGAATCACAGACTGGAGTTATTTATCAATATTCTATCAGCATTATGCACATAATGGTATTGCCTCCAAGTTAACTTCAGTAGGTGGAGGTGTATAAACGCAGATCGTGCCTGTGTATACATACAAGCATATATTTGAACCTATGTATTTACATGCATGTACACATGTGCTTATGCACACGCATGAATGTACAGTATATTCATATGCATCATATGCACATAAACAATGGCGTTTACCTAGAAGTGCCTAAGTCCATTGTGGAAGCTGACAAGACCGCAGACCCTTATGGACAGACATGGTTTCAGCAGGTGTGGACCCTGACACCTGCTCTCCCCAGAGGCCAGCGCTGGGGGCTGGGCTGTGTGGACCAGATGCAGGCACCAAGCGTCCTGTCCTCTCTCAAGTCCCTGGGATTCTGGTGCCGCTTGCTGGCCTGTGCGCTTGACCCTTTGCATCCTTCTCACAGAAGGGGTGAGGACAAGCAGGCTCTGATCACTACCCTGTCTCCCATCCACTATTTTTTGCTGCTGCTGTGATTTTTGGGTTTACAAATCCCTGCAGGAACCCAGGTGCAGGCAGGTTTGGCAAGCGGAACTCTTTCGTACAGCCCTACACCCCTACCACCTGTGGGGTGGGTTTGGGGTTCCTGCTACCTCATACCTCAGGCATGGGGACCCCCGGTATACGACACACTGTGCTGGCTGAGCCCCTGGAGGGCAGTGCCCCCCATGCTGGTCTTGGGGCACACTGCACCTGCTGCAGGATCTCTCCAGCTCTCCATTTGGAAGTGGGGCAGAGGCTGCCCCTTGGTCCTCCATCCCTGGTCACCTCAGCCCCTGGACACCTGGCCTGTCAAATGGACGTGTGTGCTCTGCAGTCACAGCAACAGAAAGAGCGCTTTTCTTCTTTCCTGTGGTTTCACGGTGTGGTGCAAGCGCCAGCGGCTGCCTTGCCAGGTCAATTTCGTCTCTAGCATTTTGACTGTCTTCTTGCGTCTCTGCCACAGAGGCTGTACTTTACTGCAGGGCTGTAAATGGTACGGACGAAATCTCAGCCTCTCTGCCCTTCTGGATCCTGGAAATTCTGACAGCCTGATCGGCAGGTTGGAGAAATAAATGACCTCTTATTGGGTACAAAAGACGGCGAGGGCCTTGAAGAGGAGGCCTCCTGGCGTGGTGCGTGGCAGAAGCCGCTGTATGGATCGCAACCCGAGTAATGGGAGGTTTGCTGGGCCCACCCTGCACTCGGCTTCACTAGAGGACTCATCTCTTCTCTTCTGCAGTAGCAGGAGGGCTGAAAGAGCAGGCATACAGGGACGATCACCCACTAATGGGCACCGCTTTTAGTTCCCTCCTCGCGGAGAGGCAGAGAAATGGAGAAGGGCTCTCGGGGCAAGGAGACAGGCAGATTGGCAGCCAGGCAGTGCATTTTCCTTCCTCCAGCAGGTGAGGCAGAAGTGAGTGAGAAAAGCAAAGGAAGGATGAGGGGGGCCAGGTGGGAAGGCAGAGCAACGTAAAGGGAGGGAGAAGGGCGCCGAAGGAACCCCAGCTCCAAAGACACAAAAATAGCTGCATCCTTTAAGATGATTTAAACAGTGTTTATTTAAAGCTCAGAATGTCACAGAGCTTTTAATTTAAAACATACAGAGCCGGAGGATTACAAATCTGTAGGGGGACTTCGCAGACAGCCGCTTTTCCTCACCATTTAGATGGAAATCACCATAAATCCTCCTTAGAATAAGGAAGGATCTAAACAAGTAATTACATTCCTCAGACCCAGTGACACAACAGAGCTGGTGGAGGCATACTGGAAATTAAAGGCACCATCTTTCCAAAGGGGGCGCGGAGCTGAGATAAAATAAAAGGGCGCAAAAGTGCTGGGCAGATCTAGCCCATGTATATATATATATGCCTTCTTCCCTGCTGAGCTTAAAGCCTTCATAAACTGCTTCTGCTTGCTCCCCCAGGAAACCCAGATTTTGTTTTTGATACGGTGTGGCGGGGGAAACCACGATGGACCTCAGGTGAGGACAGAAACCTGTGTGAAGGCAGAACTGCTTCTTGGCTGGCATGTGCGGGGCGCAGGTGGGTGCCCAGGGGGACCAGGTGAACCCTGGTGGTGGGAGGAGTCAGGAGGGGGGTGGAGGGGAAGGCAGGCACAGAGCACTGCGGCCAGAGGCCAGGAAGCTGCCACGCATGATCAACAGGAGGGGCAGGCGTGCCTCCAGGTGGATGACACATGCTCCAGATGCAGGGACCCCTGCCCCGGAGGAAGGCTGGGGACCAGTGCAACACACTCAGTGATGTCTTCTGCAGACTATCCATGGGCGCTGTCAGTGTGGATGCAACGAGGGACAGGCTGGGAAAAAGGGACTGTCCTGTCCTGGGCGACGTTTTTGCTATGATTTCCCACATCACGACTATTTACCTAGCATTTCAACCCTGTTAGGTGCTGATTCAGACAGGATTTAAAGGCCACTCCGGGAGGGTGTGCACCTATTATGTGCAAATACTACGCCCATTCACGTAAGAGGCTTGAGCGTCCCTGGACTGGGGTCTCCGTGGGGATCCTGGAACCAAGGGTGCATAGATGGTGAAGATGGACCAGCAAGGGGACATTCCTAAAATGCTTGCTGAAGCTGCACTAAAAATAAAACCAGCACCCACAGTGTGTTATGATGCACCCGAGCCTGCCCTTTTTCTAAGAGTTTCCAATGAGCAGGTAACGGGGAAGTGTGGGATAGAGGAGAACCAATACCCTAGGCTGCTTCCGCTAGGTGATCCCCACTTCTGTTTCTCCCAGTGTGGAGGGGGCACAGCCATCAGCACGCCCCGAGGTGGGAAGCGAGGTCCAACGCCTTGGGCCCGAGATCTACAGAACCAGAGACTGGGCTGGACACAGGTGCTATGTGCCCTGCCCAACCGTCCAGAAAAGTGCAGGAAAGAGATGGGCTGAGCCGGGTGTGTCTCTCCTGCACAGCCTAACGTTCTGGACCCAGCGATGTAATACACAGATCAACCCTCACTAACCCCCAACTAAACCCACGGTGTCAATTTAAGGTCCAGATTCACAAGTAGAAATAAAAACTGAGATGATGCGCTAACCCTAATTTTTACACATTCCTTTACATCACATCCGATTATCTCTCTCTCTCACACACACACACACACACACACTCCTTTCCCATTTCCTCAACCTTGAATCAAATTTACATTCACGTATTTGTGGGGAAAACAAAATTCCTAAATAAGAAAGCGTAAAGCTGTTTCTTTCTTGCTAAACTTAATTGCAATGAATGATTCCAATTAATTGGAGTTCTCAGTTAATCGAGATTAAGTAATGCTGCATCCAAAGAGATGTGAATCACAATCAGAGTTGCACGTGCCCCTGGCCACAGGAGTACCACCCCTTGGAAACAGATCCCAGTACGATGGTTTCCATTGCAGAAAGGGGCCTTGGAAGAGAAGCAGTAACACCTTCATGGAACATACTGTCTTTAAAGGGCTCACTCTTAGACT